TTATCGCGTTTAACCACAGCTGTCGTCGTTTTTTTTGTCTGGCAGTGGCAGCAGATATGTGATCAAATTTCTAATTTTAGGCTGTATTACGTTGATTCTGGCACCCAACATGGAGCTCCTGAGAGAGGAGCTGTAAAAATATATTGAGATGGTTTTTGGTACTTATACCGCAAATATATATTCTTATGGACACCAAAACCAGTTATGATAAAAAAAAAACCACTACGGAGCTTTTCGAAACTCCGAATCAGTTAAACCATTGCGTCGCAAAATGATTCACTCTTTCGAAGCGCTCCAATCGGATCACATGTGGTGAATCATTTGATTCATATCAGGACTTCAAAGCGCGTATCGCGAATCATTTGAATTAGATCGGGACAGATCGGAACTTCGGAGCGGCTTCGTGAATCTTTGATTCAGATCAGAACTTCGGAACGCGTATCGCGAATCCTTTTTTCCTGATTTCTTTCTTTCTTTTTTTATCAAACAGTGCAAGGGATCAAACCATTAAGGCAGTACAGTTCTAAAAAAAAAAAAAAAAAAAGAAAGAAAGAAAGAATGAAAGAAAGAAAGAAAAAGAAAGAAAGTATAGCCTACCACAAATCCCTAGTGTTATGTCCCCACCAAAGTCGAAATCAAACCTACACCTTTCTTCACCCTATAACTTGCTTCATATGACATTGGCTAATATTATTTGTTCAGTTATTCGATTAGCCAATAATTGTAAAAAAAAAAAAAGAAAAAAAAATACAGGCCATTAATTATATAACATGTTCCATGTCATTTAATATCTGTGACAATGGCAGACACACATTTTATTTTGAAACTAACAAAAAAAAAGATAAATATAGAATTCTATCTAGAATAGAAATGTCCAAATGAGAATTATGTAATCAACTCAGAGAGAGCTTTGGGTTGCCACTATAAAATCTAATTAAATTTGTTTAGTGAGAGCTATCTGGAAGAACCAAATCTGATCTGAACGCCTGAGGAGGAACATTACCTGAACTGTTTGCTTAAGATCTGAAACAACTTCCTGTTAAGATGGTAGACTCATACTGGCCACACAAATATATGCAGAACTGTTCATGCAATGAAAACAAGAACAGTTCCGCATATCATTGTCATGTGCTGTCTTTTATGACATTATTATTATTGCATTTCCAAAAATACAGCATTTGTGGATCTTTCATACTTTAGTGATCAATCCTTACAGCTTCAATCACATGCTGCTCTTATTATAATTAAGCTACTACAGGACAAGCTGACACAAATGCATTATCAGCCCACCATTGACTCTATATCAGAACCATTCTTTCTTATTTAGCAAGAGTCATGCCTTTGCTGCAGTATTTCATCACACAACTTGCACTATTAATCTTTAACTATTTATGAGGTTTGCCTTCTCCCACATTCATGAGTGATAATCATAAACCAGATCAAAAAACAAGTATACATCTCAATCAGAATTACCAATCTGGGTCTCAGTGATGTGAAAGAGAAACATTCACAAATTCATGAAACGAAAGGGTTAAACTAACTGATTCATCATAAGATTAACTTGTTCCGGATACTGTTCCTTATTGACCCATGTACGGATCCTTTTATGTTTATTACTGTCTTTATGATTAATAAATAACTTATCAACAAGAGATTGGGCGTGGATTTTGTCTCCTTTGAGGAGAGGTCCAGCGCTGGATATATTTAGAGGACAACATACTCTCATTTCATTTTCTAGGTTGAATTTGCTGGGTTTACATCATTTATGTTGTTTTGTTAATACTTCAGTGTTTTCCATTCTAGAGAAATGTCATAACACAGTAAGTAGTAATCTAACTCACGCTGAATCAAATTACTAAGATGGTAATGTAATAAATTTTTCATTTTATGGATGGTCTGCCTTTTTCAACTTTCAACATAGACATTTTGACTTTAAATGCTTTGAATTGTAAAGGTTTTTGAAAGTTTGTTTTTTTAAGTGAGGACACCATAGAAATGAATACTTTCTCTCTTTATTTATTTTTGCTTTTCTTTTTTTTTATAGATATATCATGCATACCTTCAATAAATACCTGCCTGTGGCTATTTACATATGGATTTTGGGCTCCTCTCTCAATTGTGCAGGTATGATTTTTTTTTTTTCCTTGCATTTATTTTGTAACTATCTTTTCTCCATGTCCATAATACTTTATTTCTTGGAAAAATATCAGTTGTATTGCTAAAAAAGGATATTATTTGTTGATTATTATTTTTTTAGTGAAGGGAAAGACCTGTGTTTAACTCTGTTATGTTTGACATTTAAAAGTGTTTGTTAAGAGTGACAAGAGCTAAGAATAATGAATAAACATGAGTAATATTTTGTGTTAACATGCTAAATAAGTGGCATATGTGCTATGCTAGCTGTTAATTTAAGGGTCATCAATATTTTTTTCATTAGAAGTTGTCATAACTCAAAAAGACTGACGCAAACTGTTGCGTTAATTGGTTTTGTTGAATCAAAACATTGCTTTAAGCTGAAAATAGATGCCTAATCTGTATTCTAACTTTTAGGCCCAAGTCTATGGGGGAAGAAGAAAGCCTCTCCACGATCCTGTGTTTGGCAGTTGAATAAAAGTGCTATCATCCCACCTTTAGAGGAATTGAGTGTCTGTGTCAACCTAATGAGAAATATTAACACTTCTGAATGGACTGCTTTTGACTACAAAGGTCCAGGGCAACAGCACATGGAGTTTGGCTTAGCTGGAAATATGGGCAATGTAATAGCCTCTATTTTTGGAGAAGAATGGACAGTTGCTTATGACATGCCCATAAAAAAGTGGCACACAGTTTGTCTGACATGGTCCGGTCACATTAGGCTTTTCCAGGTGATCATTAATAATACAATTTTTGAATTTCATTTGAATGAAACATCACCCAGGTTCCTTGTCGGAAATGGTACCCTGACTTTGGGAGTGTCACATAATTTTGTTGGAGGTTCTATTGATTTTGAGACCGGAAAAAACTTCCTTGGGGACATCTCCTTGTTCCGGATGTGGGGAGTACAGATGAGTCCACTGCAGCTGGAAGCATGCAGATGTGTAGATGGGAATATTGTGACTTGGAGAGAGCAAGATTGGGATTATCAGAAGTGTCCACCGATAGAGGATGACAACTTTATGTGTGGTGAGAAATTGCTCTGTCGCTCTAGAGTACAAGACTATTTGTAGAAGAGGAAATGCAGAATTAATTTTACAATAACTTGTGTTATATGATGAAATGCATCAATGTGTCATTGCATTCTAATGACCTGTATCTTCGCTACATTTCAGAATCGTCAAAATATAAAATTCAAATGAACACAGCTATTGCACAATATCTCAATAATGATTATAATGAAAATGATATCCAGGAGATTGTTCTAATCTGGGTAAGATAATATTTCTATATGTGAGTGTGTATGTATAATGTCATATATAATATTTAACATTTTTATTTAACATATACTTAATTTATATATTTTTATTACAGCTGAAACACGTTTTCCCTCAGAAAATATCAGTGCATTCTGTGTTCCTATCAAATTTAAGGTCATTATTTCATTTTTAAAACTAACTAAATAAATACATATAAATACCCAAATATTTGTATAACTTAGGGCATCCCTGTCATTTTTATTTTACTTTATTGTCTAAGAGAGGTGCCAATTTTTTCTCATCTGTGCTCCAATTTAGCCCTCAAACAGGAGCTGGTTTAGCTGGACAAAATGAGGAAATTCAGGTACAGCATATACCATAATTATTAATTATTGAGTGGACATATATAATTTATATCCTTATATTATTAAAACGCATAACGAGTTATTTACAAGTGCTACATTGTGCTTCATTGAAGGGTATTGGAAAGCCACCAATCAAGACACAATGGTAAAATTTCTCATACACCTGCAATACACGCATATATGTCACACAAAAATAAAACGTTTATGCATTGTGTATGAATCAAATCATCCAAAGAAGTATTTGTCGTGTTTGTGGTCTTAGGTTTGATTGTGTGGTGTTTGTGAGAATGATACCTGGAGCTGATGTGAGTAAAACAGTGTCTATGATACAGGGGATGCTAATACCCAGCTATATCTACAAAAACATCATCCTAAAAACAAACCCAGCATCTATAAACATCCTCTCAGTAGGTACGTAGCTGTATGTGAGGGGTTGGAAGAGGATTATTCAGTTAACCAAAACACACTGAGTGTTTCATTTTACAGCCGTCTATCCCAATGTGACTTCAAATCCTGCTTTGACCTCTGTTGCACCAGTCTTGTCTCAAACCACAAAGAGTCCCGATACTGGAAGTACAAATGTTACAACATCAGGTATGTGCCATTCAGAGCTTCATAACTCGCCAAGTAAATGTTTTTATTAATGCAGAAGCCGTTCCATCATACTTTATATAAGAAAGTGCTAAAAGCTCACATTCCTTTTCAAGAACTCACATGTAAAACATTTTGTTCTTCAGGAACTCGCACATCATTACAAACACTGGCAATGGAAAATATCTGTTCAAACACTTTAGGTTTCATTTCAAACAGAGGTGAGTTAATAACATAACATATTTTTGTTTGGTTTGTACATTGTGGATAGAGCAGAATCTCATTTGAAAAACAAATAAAGTGACAACTATGTAAAACATATTTGAATGCAGGTTTTGTGAGAGTAACAAATCTTTATGCGAAATATAGAATCATATTGAATGGATTATCCTTATTTTATATTTATTTTAAATGAGTGATATTATTTACTGTCAAGCAATGTGGCTGAACTGTTAAATAAAACTATTTTGCAGTATATTATGTTGTAGTTTGAACAGTAAATTTAATTTACTAATGCTTCACCAGATTTTGGAGATATGTTTTATAGAGTTTATCTCAATCTAACAATGAGTGGAAGCATCACAGACCCTCAACACACTATACAGCAATGGGTGAGTAATGACACATATGACAAAAAGTAATTTAGAGCAGACCTTTGTATTTGACGTGCTTCTTTTATTCAGCTTCAGCAAACACTGGGAAAATGCAACATGGACGTTTGGAATCTTGTGATAAAAGGAGCTCCTAAGTAAGTGTCCCAACATGGAACACATGGAACATGCAAATGCAGATGAAATAGATGCTGTATTGTTACTCAAATTAAATATTTTTCAGGTACGTCACTACTTTTCAGGTTCAGGCTATGGCACCAGTGAATGTCTCAGCAACAGAGAGGCTGATTTTTGAACTCTTGACAAAAGGATACACTAATGCTACCATCAGTATCAGTGTCCCGTCTGGTGAAGTCAACATCATTCATATAGGTAATGTCTGATTTTGCTGGTGGCCTGTGCATATTAAAGCAAAAAAAAAAAAAATGCTACAAATTGCTGCTGAAAATTTCTAATGGAGTCAAAATATGTGTGTTGTTTCTCAGTGTAAGCTGTTTATTGTTGCAGATCCAGGCCTTTGTCCAGAGGAGACCATGCTCACAGTGTATGGTATATACATGTGGCCCGAAATGGCGGCTCAAAGCAAATATAGCATGGGGTGTATAAGAGGGAATGAAAGTGCTACAAGGTTTTGGTAAGTGCTACACATCATGCAGTGGTTTTGCAACTAATACAGAGGTTGTTAAAATAGGAGTATCAATCAATTAATCTATTGAGGTATTAAAAAAACTAATTGCCAGTTTGTTTATTGTACATTATCATTTTCGTAATCACCATTGCATATAATTTTAAAGTGAAATACTGCTTTGTTTCTATAGAAACAATTCAACAGCCCTGGAAAAACATTCAGATAACACTAGTTTGCCATGTGTATATCTTTGCGTCATTTGGCACACAAACTATATAAACAATCCTGTGCTGCTCTACTGATTATCATGTTTTATCTTTTTCTTGTGGAAAGCAATATCCTTTAATTGAATAATTAGCTTGACAATGCTGCTTGGACTCCTGCCAATGCAAATATTAATTCCCAGGACAGCAATATAACTCCAGTCACCATTGCATAAAACTGATTTTTTTCAAGAGTTCAAGAAACCTCAGGAAAAGCTGTACAACAATCATTTAATGTCTAAAACCCTGTAAATAATATTTTCTTGAAGTCAGGAAAATGCATTAAAGGGGGTAATTCACTGCTGACAAAATGGGTTTTAATTAAAAAAAAAACTGAAAACTTTTTTAAAAGAAAAACTGGATGCTTTGAATGTTCAGAGAACATTCAGAAGTAACGTTTTCATAACTTGATGGGAAAATTGGCAAAACATTCTTAAAAAACTTTTGTTAGCTGGGGAGCTGTCAAAAGTCTTTTGCTGACAAACAAGGCCGTAGAATTAGGGGACGCTATGGGACATGTCCCCTACCAATATCCAGCCTAATTAAGACCCAGCACTCTGATGCTGCTGTAATGTTGTTGGTTTTACATGTGTAATTATTGTCTGATGAATATGTTAACATAAAAAGCTCTCTTTATGAATTATGAGAGTGTTGTCTGCTGTTATGTCCCCACCAATGTCAAAATCAAACCTACACACTAGCTGACAAATAAATGGAGTATTGGTGCCGGTAACAATATACATTGTTAATTTACTTACACTACCGACATCGTAACAGTACAAAGCTGGTTGAAAATCGGTGAACAAACCCTTTAATAAATTACTAAATGAGAGTCACTTTTTTTCTAATTCCATTTAGTAAGTTAAATGGGGCAAATGACAGAGCAGCGTGGGATCATCCAGACATGAGCAAGTGTATAAGGACGGTTTCAGATTTTGATGATTTGGAAAATATCACCGTTACAGCTGGTAAGTTATCAGTATGGGATTTTATTTGCCTTTATTTGTCAGAGAAGACAGAAGCATAATTAATTCAGCCCAATTTATTATTCTCCATGTTGCATCTGTCTCCAGACAACTCAGCAGACATTGTGGACATGATTGAGGATCTTTTAAATGAACAACCCGATCTGACTGATGCTCAGCTGGACATTGTGCTTGAAAAACTGTCCGAGGTCACTGAAGTTGGAACCTTGACCACAGACCTGTCCAGCGACATTACTAAAATTGTTTCAGATATCTGTTATATCAAAACTAGTCCCACTCAAGTCAACAAGTAAGTATGCAAGCAGGCCAGAGCATTTTGTGAAGGATTACATTTTGATATATATATATATAGTTTAAGGCAGGGCTGGGCAACTTCGGTCCTGGAGGGCCACTGTCCTACAGAGTTCAGCTCTAACCCTAATCAAACACAGCTGCCTGTAGATTTCTAGTGATCTTGAAGACGTGCAGGACAGTGGCCCTCTAAGACCGAAGTTGCCCAGCCCTGGTTTAAGGGATAGTTGAACCAAAAATGGATTTTCTATCATTATTTACTCACTCTCATGGTTGTTTCAAACATGTATACATTTCTTTCATCTCTGGACACAAAAAGAGAAAATTAAAATATAAGGCCCAAGTTGCTACAATATGGTATCAGAAGATCCCACACTATTTTAAATTGATAATGCTTATTCTTTTTTTTTATGTCACTTTTCATGGAGTCAAAACATCTGATAAAAACATCAACTTAAAGTTAAAGCATCTTAATGATGGATTTATTACAAACACTCAGCTTTTCACTTCACAAGACATTAATTGATGGACTGGAGTCGTGTGGATTACTTGTGGATTATTGTGATGTTTTTTCAGTGATGGCTTTCATTCTGATCCATTCACTGCAGAGAATCCATTGGTGATCAAGTGATGCCATGCTAAATTTCACCAAATCTATTCTGATGATGAAACAAACTTATCTACATCTTGGATGGCCTGAGGGGGAGTAAATTTTCAGCTAATTCCCTGATAGCACACATACATCATGAGACGTCTATTTGACATCTGCATTTACATCTGCAAGACGTATTTTTTAGAGTGTTTGCTCATCTGCAATATTTCTATTAGATGTCAAATAGACATTTAAGATGTTTTTAGAATGTCTTTAAGATATTTATGATTTAGAATGTATGTAAAACTGACAGAAACAAACTTATCTACATCTTGGATGGCCTGAGGGGGAGTAAATTTTCAGCTAATTCCCTGATAGCACACATACATCATGAGACGTCTATTTGACATCTGCATTTACATCTGCAAGACGTATTTTTTAGAGTGTTTGCTCATCTGCAATATTTCTATTAGATGTCAAATAGACGTTTAAGATGTTTTTAGAATGTCTTTAAGATATTTATGATTTAGAATGTATGTAAAACTAACATCTTAAAGACATCTATCAGATGTTTATACACAGCAGATGCATTCCAGATGAAGCGATCTTTAACAGACATCTTGCAGACGTATGTGTGCTATCTGGGTCAACTATTCCTTGAAAGTTTTTTTTTTTTTTTTGCAGGTTGAGCCTCAAAAAACATGATATGTCTATAAATATATCTCTGAATACGGCTCAATATCCAATTTTCCTGCTGTCTTCACTCCATTGTGGCTTTCTGTCTTTGTGTGTGGTAGAATTCTTTCTATTACAGACCTTATGGGAGATAGGACGGTGTTCGAGGGAGATGCTCATAACATGACAGCACCTTCATTAGCACTTCAACTGATCAACCCTGACACCTCTCAGTTCCACGGCCTCACATTCGAGGTTTCCTCCTTACTGAATGATAGCACCCCTGAGGTGAGAGACAAAGAGAGATTGTATATCTAACACTGCATGACATCTAACACTGCATATCTAACACTCCAAGATCATTATGGAAACTTTAGACTCTTTGCGAAAATAGCAGTGTGATATTAAAATATCACAGTACCTTTGTGAATGTGTTTTCACACCATTGTGACCACAAGGTTTCTGTGTCCTTGTGTGCGTTAGTGGATCACGGGATTCAAGTGGTTATTTTAGCACCATTTACATGTTGGGTGTGATACTCGCCCTGACCACTAAATGACTTTGAAGTAAGTAAGATGTAAACATATTGAGCCAGCATTGTTGTATGTATTAAAGCTGAAGTATGTCATTTTTTCAGTGTGTTAAAATATCTTCCATTTTAAAGATGTAAACTATTCATAGGTTATTCTGTTTGTTTGATCATCGGCTGATGAGGATGTTTGTTTGTTACGTTCAATGGCGCTATTGGTGCAAAAACAGCTTTACGTTTCATTTATACTTCTATGTCAAACCTACTGTACACCCTTATGTGCCCGTTTGCATAAGAAACTTGAATTAGTCAGGCTATATCGCATTCGTTCCTATTGTTTATGAAGATGCAGCAGATGTATTTTTATCATGTTTGTCCATTTTTGTTCAAATAAAGAAAAGCCAAAGCAGATTCAACCATCACATGTCTCCAAGCAACACAGGAGTGGTGAATGAATCAGTATTTTAAACAAACGCTTGAGTGAATGATTCAGTGACTCATTCATAGTCACCTGTCGCCACCTACTGGCATATCGATGTAACCGGTAAAAAGAAAAATCCCCACCACTAATGCACAAACTGACAGTCTGGAACAATCAATACAGAGAAAAAGTGTGAACCTGAATGGTTAATGGGTTTTAAAGTATGTTGTAACGTTTTCTTCCCTTTTTTGTAGATATTTTATGACAAGAACTTTACAGAGCATCCAGACAAAGGAACTGTAGCGTTCATTTCCTTATCTCATACAGTTGAGAGCTTTTTCCCAAACAATGGAGCCAGACCTCGTGTACAGTTTCATTTTTATGGCACAGAAAAGTTCTTTGAGGTAACTCACTGAACTGGTGATCAGATTTTCCTTGTGTATTTTTCTAATTTTAATAAACCAGTCAGTTTACGTAAAGAACAGCAAAACTATAGAATTAGCCGTTTTTAACTATTTATATGCAGCATTTTTGCAATCAGTATTTACTTCTAATGGCAAACTTTTAACATCTAGGACCCTACAGCCAACATGACGCTGAACTCTTATGTAGTATCTGCCAGTGTCACCAATGCCACAGTAAGCAACCTTGAGATCCCAGTGATGGTCACTCTCCGCCATCTCCAAAACAAAGAGGTCTGTATGGATACAATCAGCCACCAAATCAGAAAACAAACCACAAATCAGTTCAACATCATTATTGCCCCGTTATACAACGGTTGGAACAAACGATAGTAAACAGTTACCATAATAATGTAAGCTACCACTAAATGTATGCTATCTTCTGTCAACAAATACCTTCCTAAGAATAGCTACTCACAAAATGAGGCAGCTGTAATTCATCTACAATGAAAACCCCTGATATTATCACAGATTTACAGTCTGATCATTAAAGTAAAATTTCAGCACTCTCTCTTTTTTCTCTATAGGACTGGGGCATTGTCAAGTGTGTCTACTGGGACTTCAACAAAAACAGTAAGCTTTGTGATACACACTTTCAAATGGAACATTTAGGCCTATTTAGAGTAAAAGTGCATTTTGGTCAATATCCCCATGATGTGAAGCTATTAAACGTAATTTCGGGAGGAGTATGCTCATCTAATCTTCCAATTAATACCAAGGTATAAAACCAGCATCTTACCTCTTCCCATTGTTAGTTCTTTCGGCATCCCTCCTCCTCCCCTTCTCCTCTTTTTTTGTACAATTTTGCCTGTTATAAGGGGGCACCGGAACTCGAGTAGAATATCCTCTCTGAGCCCCTCTATGGCAGACAGCAAGCCAAATCTGTTTACCACTTACGCTAAGATTATATGGGCACACGAACTCGTGAAAGTTCAGTGGTTGTTTTTTATGTCTCATAGATGAGAAAGGTGGATGGAATGATACAGGATGTGAGACAGTAACGTCTAATGCCACTCATACGTCTTGTTCCTGTAATCACCTCACACATTTTGGAGTTCTTCTGGTGAGTTCAGTTTGTCTTCCCAAAATGTAGACAGCCCATTAAAAATTTGATAAAGTACACAAAGTTTTACCTCATTTTTATGGTTGTGTGAAACTAAATTTCCCCTTGCAATAGCACAAGGTCACTGAATTATAACTGACATTATATTTACCAAAGGCAACATAATAATTAACAGTAAAGCTTTTATGAAAACATTCAGAAACTAAAGGTCATTAGTTAATTTATGGATGACAAACGGTGGCAGTGTGCACAACATTTGCATAAAATATGCCTAGATTTTGATTACTGTAACCAGTATGCATGTTTCTCTGAACCTGTCTGTCTTCCAGGATATCTCTAAAACCCCAATAAGTGCAAAAGATGAAAGGATTCTGACTATCATCTCATACCTGGGCTGTGGCATATCCTCAATCTTTCTTGGAGTCACACTGTTGACCTATTTGGCCTTTGAGTGAGTTCATAGACTCTTTTGCAAGCTACCACTTAAACCAGAATAACAATGCAGACTTAGAGATTCATTTGGTTTGTTTACATCCTTGAGCAACTCAAAAGGATTCATCTTCAGTAGTGTCAATAAATGTTAATTGTCAATAAATGTTGATGTCTTTTTTACATGAGTTTTCTTACCACAGGAAACTGAGGCGAGACTACCCTTCAAAGATCCTTATTAACCTCTCCATAGCCTTGCTAGGGTTGAACATGCTCTTCCTGGTGAACTCCTGGCTTGCCTCTTTTAACAGCAATGCCATCTGTATTACCGTAGCAGCCTTTCTACATTACTTCTTCCTGGCTACCTTTACTTGGATGGGACTGGGTGCAATCAACATGTATCTGGCCTTGGTCAAGGTCTTTAATTCATATGTGCCATCTTACATCCTCAAATTCTGTGCTCTTGGATGGGGTGAGACAGGCAGTTTTGAGTTTTTTCTCTTCACAAAATTTTATACCGTGTAGTTTCGATTAAATTAAATGTGACGAGAATATTTGTGCATAACAACTAAGAAAATTTAAGGAAAAGGGTTTGTGTTTGTTGATTCTTGAACTGTTGTTTGCAGGTTTACCTCTGCTGGTTGTAAGTTTAGTGCTTGCCATTGATATAAATTCATATGGCACCAGCCTCTCCAGAGCACTTTTCCAAGAATCCACTGCATTGTAGGTGCCATGAGCAAAATAATTTAAAATACACATTTGTAAATGCATAAGTTGGTGCACACCAATGACTATAACTATAACCATTGAGCAAGCAACCCAGTCTCACAAGAAAATGTATTTTTACGTTTCTTACTAAATCATACAATGTGATTCGTAGGAAAATATACAGTTAGCAATTTCAAAAGTAAGCACAAACCTAAATTCCTAACCCCACCCCAAACCCTAACCCTCTGTGGGGAAAGAGCAGGTCGTTCAAAAACATATGAATGAGATTGAACAAATTTGCCAAACCTAAAGTAGTTTGAAGGCTGCATTGTCGCTGGAATCATTCACAGCAAATTCTGTCCAGCTGATGAGCACTAAAAACTTTTAAAGTGTGCACAGAACATATCAGAAGGCCGCAATTAGAATAAACAGAAAGTTATCGTCTGTTGGTGTGGACGCTAATTTATTTATCATTATGGTTGTATGCACCAAGAGCTTGTAACACTCCAAAGAGAAAGGAAAAATTGAAATCGCATCATATGACCCCTTTAAAATTCTTGTTTTTGTTGTGAATGGGCCTTTATGGTTACACTACTCTCTTCATTCTCTTCAGTTGCTGGTTAAAGAATGACGTGACCTTTTATGTGACGGTGGTTTCCTTTGTGACCCTGGTCATGGTCTGTAACATCTGCGTGTTTGCCGTGGTGCTGGTACAGATCCATAAAATGCGGGCCAATAAGCCCTCCAGCAGCCGAAAAGGGTTCCTGCATGACCTGCGAGTGGTGGCCAGTCTCACCTTCCTGCTAGGACTTACCTGGATACTATCCTTTGTCGCTTGGGGCCCTGCCAAAACACCCCTGCTGTACCTGTTCTCTCTCCTCAACAGTCTTCAAGGTAACAGCAAGGGCTGCTGCTTATGGCCAGAGAGAGAAAGTTAGCTAATGCATCACTGTGCAGATAGATACAGTGATTATAATAGGACCATCAGGAAGAATGCATTATTCTAGTGTTTAACAACAGATAATATTGTTTTTGTATTGTTATCTTCATAGCAAATGTAAAGGATTTAGATTTGTTTTGTTTTTTTTCAGGTTTCTTTATCTTCCTGTTTTACTGTCTGATGAAAGACAATGTAAGGAAGCAGTGGAGGATACATCTCTGCTGTGGAAGATTCAGACAGACTGAATATTCAGGTTTGGCACATTTAAACAATACATTAGTTCTCATACTTAAATAACCTATGGTAGAAATATATATACCTAAGAGGAAATATTCTATATTATAATAATATCATTATGCTGTATTATACAAAGCTACATATCAAGCTCCACACAAAAAAATGTATATTAAAGGAGTGTTCTGGATTAAAATTTACTTAGCAAGTAAAGAGTGTCCCATCTGCACCACTTACAAACACAAAAGCTATCAATTAGAGACAAGCTTGAAAAGTTACATGAATAAAAGATCAGTTGAATTTTGACCAGACTGGAGCCGTTCTGTGACACTGGGGGCCAAAGCGAAAGGTGGTCTGCAAGTCTCCTCACCATCCATGAAGTCAGAGACTACCAGCGAAAGGAAGAGCTCTGATACCTCAAACTCAGGGACCAGCCATGATGGTGTTTTCCCGACACAGGGCAGAAAAACAATCAAATAAAATGTGTATTTCTTTTTGTGTTTATGTTAAAGGAGTCTTTGGACATTTCCAGCAGAAAATCATGAAAAGCTTCATTAAGTTTTTTTTTTTCATTGATAAAAATAGTTCCAATAATGTATTTCTTCCAGAGAGATGAATTAATGAGGTCATCTGTTTAAATGTGTTATGACTGGTGTCATTCAAGTGACTGATATCTATATTTTAGACATCTGTATAATGACAGCACCTTTTTCCAAATTACTAGGTTACTAATTTTTGCTTCAGACTATCAGTATTAAAATAAGACTAGCGTCCTGTCCTAACTGTGCATACATTTATTAAGATAAATGATTATGACATTAATAATGAAATAAATGACAAATAAAACGATTATTCATTATCAGTGTTAACGACAATGTCAACGGGCAAATGAAGTAAAACGTCCTAAAAACATTAGCTCTGTCAGTGTCTTTTTTTCCAGAGGTGACAGTTAAACTTGTTCAGTCACATTCTACTCGAACTGGTTAAAGTTCACAGATTAACGCCCCACATTTAAAGGCAAAAAGTGAAGTAGTTTCTTTTAGTTGAACTTCTCCTAAAAGGGGAACGAGTTAACTAACCTAACTGCAGCTTGTTCAAATCTCGCGCAACAGCTGATATTTCGCCTTTATCAATGTAATTGTTCGGGTTGCAGCGTCTGATTAAACACTCGAGATTCCACGGCTTGTACGGTGAGTAAAAACGGTGGCTATTTCCATGAGAGCAATATTTCATCATTTTAAAATAGCATAAGCGTAACGTTAATGCTTAATTCTATAAATCTGGAGACGATCAAATGCTGTCAGAGTTTGAACGTAGTGATTTGCGGTAACACGGTTTGTAGTTTAGAGAGGGGACATAATTATTAGTATTAACTATAGGTATTTTATTTAACTCTTTTGAATGTCGTGCATACACTGTAAAAAGATATATATATATATATATATATATATATATATACTGTATATTCTCTAGCAATTAATCTTAATCATCAACATTTAAGTTGTGCTGTGATGTTGTATCGTTATATCCTTTCATTCATCAATACCATACAAACAATGTCATAAAGTGATGGGATGTTATGGCAATTTCACATTAGAATTAGAAGACATGACATTATGATCAATGTATACAATAATTCGTCAACACTGCAGGATAGATGGATAAATGATGCATTGCACACTCTTTCTTCTGTATCTAGATCAGTGATGGAGGAGGATCTAGGGAACCCTGTGGCTAAGAAGACTAAGGAGGAGTCCAGTAGTGTCCTTCTCACTTACTTCAAAGGAGACATCAACAGCATGGTGGATGAACATTTCTCCCGTGCTCTGAGTCAAGCAGCTAAACCGAAGGGAGAACGCTCCAAAATCAAAAGAAACCGTAAAGTTGCTCAAACAAGTAACTGTTCCTCTCAAATTTTGCTTTTACACAAAATATTTGATTTGTTAAATTAATTTAAACACTTCCTGTGTTTTTTTCCCCCCTAAGATGGACTTGGTTCAAGTCAATGGGAAGCACAGTCACAAACCAGGTTTCAGCCCTTGTTTCCTCCAGAACATCTCCGGGAAGGAACAAGCAGCGAGTCTCAATCAAACCATCATATGCCACCAAATCACCCTGCAAACAGTGCTGCTCTGTGGTCAGGGAATTCTAGGCAGGGATTGAGTCTCGCTCTACCCCCCATGATGTATCCCTCAGCTGTATCCTCTGATGGTTTGATGGTGGCAGAACACCAGTACTCTAATTCTCTGTTAAACTTTTAATTCTCTTGCTCCACAACGATCACCCTGACATGGGCACAGTGGTGCTACCCTCCTCCAAACAAGACCTCATGTCTGGATGGACCAAGTATCCAGGATTTGGCAATCAGATGAATTGCAATATCAATCTTAACTCTGGTAAATGCCCTCATTTTAGTACTTTTTGAAAAGGTACCCCAGTAACAGCTTTTGTACCCCACCCCCCCAAAGTGTATTTTAATTACACCTATATAATTTTCAGAAGTTTAGGATTGATAAGATTTTCAGAAATTTTTGAAATAAGTCTACAACACTTACTAAAGCTGAATTTATTTGATCAAAAATACAGTAAAAACAGCAATATTGTGAAATACCTTAATATATTTTCCATTTTAATATATTTAAAAAAATAACGTATTCCTGTGACACGTACTCCAGTCTTCAGTGACACATGATCCTTCTTATTCTAATATGCTGATTTGGTGCTTAAGAATCATTACTTATTATTAACATTTAACATTTTTTTAAATGTACATTTTAGTCACTTTATTATACATCATCCATAATCCTAAGTAATTTAACTAAGTAACTTGTAATTGCCTTTTAGGTGTACAGGGGATTGAAAAAAGGGATATTTATTGGTATTAACAATGTTATTTGAGATTTAAAAGGAAGATCAGAGAAGTCTTTCATCACTTTCTTGTTTAACTGAACAAGTGACTAATGGACCTTGCAATGCTTCACCTGGAGGCGTCTGTGCATCCAACCTGTTCAGAAACAAGCTCTTCATGTACCAAAGCACAGAAGAAGATTGTACAAGAGATTGGCCTCAGGCTCTATGGTTAAAGACGTTTTACATGCACACAGAAACACACTAAATCTGTTTTTCCTTTATTATTATTATTTGTAGAGTGTCAGGTGGAGTTTATTGTTGTTGTTTTTTATAGCAAACACCTGATAGACTTTTTGCCTGAAAGCTATTTTTGTTGCATTTCATTTTCAGATAGGCTGCTCTGGGTCTAAACAACTTTAAATGATTTGAAAAATGATTACAAACATAATTACATAAAGACATGTATAAATGTACGAAACTTAAAAGTATAAAGAGGTTTTATATGGGCTTTATTATAATTTAAGAGAACATTACACAACTATCATTTGTCAAATTCGGCTGCTTTAAATGCCAGACAATACAGTAGTTTGATTGGATGCACAGTCTTTGATGCCAACAACAAAAGGAAGTTTTCTCCTCTCTTTCAAAAATTAGAAGCTTATTTATTTTGCTATCCTAACTATGCACAATTATTAGCATTGTTTTTCCCTGCTATTGTTCTGCTATTGACATTTTAGGTCACAAACCACTTGTTGAAAATCACTTTGGTATTGTATTATATAAATGCTATTGTATTGTATTGTATTTCCATAAATGGCACATGACAGCATTTCTTCAGTGCTACTCAAATACATTTCATTTGTATATTACAGTATTTGAAACAAACTTGGTTTAATTCTGACTTAAGCGTGGCATCCTGGCTAATGAAAACAACAACAACACTGCACCCTAGTGGGCGAGAACAACATTGCACTGCATCTCACTGTAAAATTACATTAATTACAGCAGCATGGTGTAGAGTCTGTATATCTTGGAGCCAATCTTAATCTCACACTATGATGTAGGTATCAAACTCCACTCCCCCACCATGAATCCAATTCATGGACGCAGATGGAGGAACAGCCATCTCCACACCCCCGCTTGAAGATTATTGATGTCCTTGCACTATATTTAGCTGTTACCCATCTGGTGGCACACACGTCCCTTTCCAAATAAAAATGATCAAAGCCAAGGCTAAACTCTGCACTCAGACTCACCTCTGGCTAGAAACATTCAGCACAATGATCGATCACTCCACGTTTCATGGCAAAGGGAGTGGAGGACTAAATTCTTTTACTGAGCAGAAATCTTTACTGTTTTATGCTTTATTATTACACAGTATTACTTGATTCTGACTGGTCTTCTCCCTACTTCCCTACTAGTATCCAAAAAGCAGTACGGGAAATATGTCCAAATTCTCAGAATTCAGAAAACGGCAAGCAAAATTGAATGGACACTTTACAAGAGGCCACAGCAGGAGCTGCGAATGGCAGGGAAGCACCACAACTGACTCCCATAGGTCAGCAACATTAATAGAACTCAAAGCTATCTGGCCAATAATGTTCAAAAACGTCAGCACAAAAACATGATTTACACATTGTTCATGGAATGCTTTTTCTGAAAACGTTTTAGATGAAATCTTTTTTAAAGCTGCTACTTGTTTCAGAATGTTCAGAGAACATTTGAAAGTAACGTTCCCATAATGTTTGCAAAATGATAAAGCTCAAAAGTTCTAATGCTAAAGTTCTAACCATCTAATGCAGTGCTTTACAGCTTTAACCAGAAAAAGTCTCACTTGTTTAGATATGACCCCCACTGTTGTTGTGCACAGGGTAGATTGGAAGTATTTTACATCTCCTCTGGCATTTCGGTTTGACTTTATTATCGACACTCTTTCCATTCAAGCCTCTGCTCTCCTCTTTACTCACACTTCATCTGTAATTCTAATATAGTCTGCAGTGACACCTCAGAGAATCCACAGCTCACAACCCAATTAGTGTTGACCTACAGAGGTGACACCTTTAAATAGGACATATTTCATTTTTGGCATCATGAAATAGTATTATTATTTCTGTTGACTGTGTTGCCGAACCAATTTCCATGATAATGTGTCATTTCTAAAACAATACTCTCTGACAGCAGAGACTAAATAGCTTCTGTTAACTATTGTGAGCTAACTGATAACACTGACCTACGAGTATCCGTGGATTCTGCCAGCAGTCCTTGAGTTAATGCTGACATTAACCTTATTAACCTTCTTGTAACTGCAGTTTCCTTTTAACAGAACTTGTAGCCATTGAGTATGATATAACAAGGTGCTGCTGTTTTATGTATGTGATTTTAGTGAGAATCATACTATATTATAAAACCATGTGGGCTCCTCCATGGAGTGGATCAAATCTCACAGCCGCACAATCAATTATAAAAGTTACTTTCGATGTGTGGTTGTCACATATATATAATTTACAGCACTATTTGAAAAAGATTCAAAGAGTGTCAAAATTAAAACAAAAATTTGACTATGAACAGTTTGAAGTAAGCATTTTGGCTGTTGTAAGTTAGCAACTTTTGATCACCTGTCGATTACTTGAGGAATCATGTGAAGAAGGTTTGAATAGGATGTGAATGATAAAAGCTGGAGGACTGCAGAAGGTGGTCAATAACACTGAAGAATGAGAGCACTGATTAGACATTCCATTGGATGGATCCCAAACTGGAGAATGCAGCTATTGTGAACCAGTGAATGGAGAAAACTTAAAGTGAACATAGAGATTTTACACTACATTTTTATATGGAATATAGCCGTACATGTGATGATATCTGTAATACTAAAATATACCAGACAAAACGTTAAAAGTTTGCTTTTGGTTCTCAGGATACATAGGTGTATGCTGGCTCTTTGAATGATGCATAATATTTAAATCATGCTTTTACTTCACATGGTCTGACATTCTGAACCACTTCAAACAACTAACCTTCTTTTGATATAGAGCCTAACGGACAAAAAAAAAAGGTAAAGATCCATAGTCATAATACCAAGAAAAAAAATCCAATTCAGATATTACAAATGGCCAACTAAAAAGAGATATTTTCTGGAATATAATTTTATACAATACCCTTTAACCATGGGCAGTATTTTTTTCCCCAGCAAATTAAACACTGATTATATATAAGATTCATGGGGGAGACTGGGAAGTGTCATGACACAGGGTGGGTTGTTACATCATTAGTTTTTGAAATTCAGAAAAATCTAGTTAAGATTGCTCAAGTTGACTCAAAATCCAATTTATGAAAACTTGATTACACTAAATAAAGTTAACAAATTTACAGTGTTCAAAGCTTTTTCAATTCTCCTTTACATCTATGATTCATGATTCATTAAATTTAAGATTTATGAAGGTGGTCATCCTCATTTTTAATTAAGCAGTCATACAAAGATTCAATCACTTATACGTTAACTTATACCTGGGTGTAGGTTTGATTTTGATATTGGTGGGTATCACCCCCTTCCCATCCAACTACCCCAACATTTCTACATTTATGATAGACTTCTGACCACAGTTTCATGTCATCTAAAGTTTTTATTTATAGCTAGCTAACATACTCATTATTCATAGAGAGCTTTTTAGCATATTCATCAGACAATAATTATATAATTTTGATTATGTAAAACCAACAACATTAAAAGCGCACTTTTAAATATGTTTTCTTTGGATCGTTTGACTACTCAAAAGAGAATATAGAAAAATATAACTTAATTAATTTGGGTTTCCTGCTAGGTAAACTTCACATAAACAAAAATCTGGCTCTAAACCTCTCTTTTTTATTCAAAGTTGATCTAGACAAGTATAGGGAAACTATCCAAAGCTCTGATTTCCTATATATGCAGTGAAAACTGCATATCTATATTCATTTATTCAAAGCAATTAAATTATATATTCATATATTCAAAGCAAATGTATTACTTTTTTTTTTGTTAACCTGGCAAAAGATCCCTACATTACTACTACTACTACTACTACTACTATAACTACTACTACAAAATAATAATAATAAATAAATAAATAAATAAAAAACACACCATGGTTACTAAAATTAAACCATGGTAACCACAAATTAACCATGGTTACTTTTCTTAAGGGATTTGTCTGTGTATACTTTCTTTATTTTTTCTTTGTTTCGTTTGTAGAAATGTACTGCCTTAATGGTTTGATGTTTTGTACTATTTAAAGAAAGAAAGAAAGAAAGAAAGAAAAATAAAAAATCTGGTCGACCTTAAAAGCAAATTCTATATGTAATTTTCTATTAAGCTGCCATTTGGCCAAACTAGCACAGTTAGCTAAACGTAACTTAATAAAAATATCAACAAAACACTTACATTTGTATTTCTGATATGCAAATCTATAATAAATATGTACGACACCGCATACTGAAGCGTGTGAGCGGCGCAATGCTGCTATGGTTACTTCCTCAGGCGAACTTGATTTTATTAGCGTCTAATTGGAAAGTGTCCTGAGTTCAGTTATAGCATTTATCAATACGGAAACGATATATAAGAGTATAAAAGATAATATGTTGCCTATACATGATATTTAACCCACCCCATATAATTCGCACCCTGGTCACCCAGTGCTCATGCACGCGCCTCAGACACAAGGAGGTCAGCAGCAGCAGAGGCAGGGTGTTAATGGTGGGCTGCGTGTCAGTGAGGGGGAGAGATGAGAACTGTGAATCCATCCGTAAGGAAAGGCATAGTGTTAACACTATTTAGCCGTGCATTGAGGCTGCTATGGTCGTCTACATCTGGAGTTTGAACATTAGCAATAAAGACACTTCTGCGCTCAATCAAAGTGCAAATGTCAGTTTAGGAATCCCTCTAGAGCCCCACGAGACCCCACCTGGCCTGAGCCGGACCGGCCACACGGTGACAGCCGTCTGCCTGGGAATCATTCTGGTGTTTGGATTTCTGAACAACCTCTTCGTCCTGCTCATCTTTGCGAGGTTTCGCTCACTGTGGACACCTATAAACCTCATTCTGCTGAACAGCAGCGTGAGTGACATACTGGTTTGTTTGTTTGGGACTCCCTTCAGTTTCGCTTCCAGTCTCTATGGGAAATGGCTGTTGGGATATCACGGCTGCAAATGGTACGGTTTCGCCAATTCGCTTTATGGTGAGTTTTACTGAAGTTCATTCAACAGGAAAGTTATAGGTGTAACAGGTTTCAGAAGTTATTTCAGAGGATAAGCTACCTTACAGCCGAACTTTCTTTGTAGCGCTGCTGTGTGTTATTTTCTGGCGTACACATGGGTTTGCTGATCGATAAGTTACGTTTTGAACCCAGTAACCATGGGCATTTGGCAATATATTTAATAACTTAATATTAACAGCGTCTTCAAGCCAAGAGTTTGTTCATATTTTAGTAGTTTTTGGGAAGTTTAGGAAAAAAGGCTATCTATCTATCTATCTATATATATATATATATATGTGTGTGTGTGTGTGTGTGTGTATATATATATATATATATATATATATATGTGTGTATTTTGTATTTTATTTTTGGCAGATGGTCTAGATTTTTTAGAACACTAATTTATATGATTTTTTTAAAGGTAAAAATAATGTGGAGAGGACTTTTTTGTCCTGAAGGAATTATGCTGCTGACTGATTTTAATCAAGCATTTGATTTTAAAATGTTTTTGTGTATGTGTGTGTGTCACTCCACAGCACAGAGATTGATTAAAAAAAAAAAAAATGTCCCAAAACTTACATAAGCTTCAAAATATAACCAACAAACCAAAATAAATCTTCCAGGATGTTGCAGTTAAAGTAGTTAACCAACAATAATCAAAAAATGTGTGATGTGCAAAAGGTGGCTTGAATGAATTGCATAACAGCATATGATTTCTCAAGCTGTAAGGTCAGCCTAAATTAAATCAACTAAATCTTTGTAGTATGTCCACAATCACAAAGAAACAATAGTTTTGCAGTACCAGTGTTATAAAAATTATATTAAATTTTTGTGTATTGCCCATTTTTTCTTGTTAAGCAAAACACATGTCACTGTCTAAAAAAAAACATTAAAAATGTAAAATATAGAAGCTATCTGTATATTTTACACATACATTTGTGATTTATTTACTTATTTATTTGTGATTTATTACTTTTTTTTATTTATTTAGGTGTGAACATTGAAAACATTTTCTGAATTTGGAATTTTTTCATGTGAATTAACATTAAAATCTGAAAGAATGCTCGAGCTGATTTAAATTTTTACAGTTTTCTCACTGTTTAATTAAGTAGGCTACACTATAAAACATATCTTATGGGGTGGGAGAAAATATTAAATAAATAAAAAATTATTATATTATAAATAATTATAAATAAATAATTCTCAGATGCATCGCGATTCTCTCTTCAACGATTCTGAATCGATTCTGAGCTTGGTTTTTCCCGCATATGTGCGAATTGCTTGACAGTGTGTGCTTCCACTCGCCGTTATTTATATTTGCTTGTTTGCTTGAAGATATATTTAGTTGGTTAAAATCTTGACAATTGTTTTAATTTATTATTAATTTGTAATTATTTTAAAAAGTAGCCTGCTTATATAATTTAATAAAAATTCACTAAATAAATTTGATATGGCTATAAAATTTATATGTAAATGTAGCCGCATGTGCAGTAATATTTAAAATTGAGGATGCGACGCATCGTGATAGCGAATTGAATCGAATCGTTGAAATGATAGCTAATCGTAATCAAATTGAATCGTGAAACCAGTGAAGATTCACATCCCTAATATGCCATATCTTACTAACCTGGGTGCCTTCACATTTTTGACTACAGAACTTACAGCAGACTACTGTTTTGTGCTGTAAAAGTTTAGTAACAGATTTTTTAAATACATTTTTTAGAGGAAACATGGTTTTTGTCAAGTTCACATTAGACCATATGCTTCCATTTTTTTCAGTCTGATGAAAATTTTCCGCAAATGCTCAAGACAGGCAGAAGCCAGAATCACTTTGATTTAATCTGAGTTGTCTCAGAAGTCACAGTCTTCCCCCAGTGATCTGACATTTGAATGAAGAGCCCGTTTAAGGCCGTTAATTACTCTAGTGGGAGTGTTGTGACACCCTCTGTTTCTCTTGTGTAGAGGACCTGCAGATCTGCGAGTGCAGAGTGCTTTTGTGCAGAACGTGGACCTGCAGTGCAAACCCACTGAAGGAGAATGAGGCTCACAGTTTTTCTGTGTGGTTACCCACATTTCTGACAATTGAACTGTAGAAATAAATATGCTGTCAACGGCTTGTTTTAACTCCATAATCTTGTGTCAAGTCATTGTTTACAGGATGATAGTTGTTAATAGGTCTTCATACCTTTGACCTTGTCTGGAAAACACAATCTGTACCTTAATGAGCACCTTGAGTCTGAGACTGCATAACAGAAATTTTATTACATTATTCTACATTTCAGTTTAATTGTAGTCTGTTTCAGCATTATTTTTGATTGTTACTCTTTATAGTTTTAGTATAGTAATTATAATTAAGGAATCAGTTGAGGAATCTAAAATAAATATTAATTTGAGGAAAGAAGCAGTGCCCGCATTTACACAATCAAGGGTAAAAATATACCTGCTCACTGTATCAGCCGTGTGTTGATTCTCATGTGCATGTCAAAACTTTTAAATACACAAAAGTAAGAGGAAACAGTTTAATGATCTCTAAATGTACTTGGACTCAGCATTAAGTGTTCAATGACTACTAAAATGAATTTAGTTTGTTTTATATGTTATTTCAGTTAGTTTATACTGTGCATTGATTATTTTAGAATTTATGAAAATGTTTTTAATCATTAGTTTTTGTCTAGTAATATACAGCAACAGCAGTCTCATTAACACACTACCTCAATGCTGCAGTTAATTTTGGCAGTTTTATATAACAGTTGAGGGTTGCTCAACTGATCCAGGAACAGAACTGAGTTGAGAGCATAACTATATAACAATTATTATTTGCACTTAACCTCAGACTTCTCTCTAGGGACTGTCCCGGATGTTCACAGTGAATTGCTTTGTCAAACTTGGGTTTATTTTCATTTTCCCCCTGCGTGACAGAAAGTTGTCAAAATTGCTGCAATTGCTTTACAGCACTTAGTGTAAACAGGCAATAGATACAGTACAAACAAATATTAACATATATTACAATAAAAAAAACATTTAGAACATCACAAGTTGGTTGTTTTGTGACCGCTATTTTTCCATATCTGTTTTCTTTATCCCAAATAGGAATTGTGTCTCTAATGTCTCTGTCCATACTGTCGTACGAGCGTTATGCCGCCCTGCTGCGCCCCACCAAGGCAGACGTGTCTGACTTCCGCAGGGCCTGGCTCTGTGTGGCTGGATCCTGGCTCTATTCGCTGGTGTGGACTCTCCCACCATTCCTGGGCTGGAGTAGCTATGGACCTGAAGAGCCTGGGACAACATGCTCAGTGCAGTGGCATCAGTGCTCAACCAGCAGCATGTCTTATGTAATGTGCCTGTTCATCTTCTGTCTGCTTCTACCCCTCATGCTCATGATATTCTGCTATGGCAAAATCCTGTTCATTATTAAAGGGGTGAGTGAGAAGAGGACTCTCATTATTATGTTATATATGTTATTATTTATTAAATCCACTGTATATTTTTAAACCCATCATTAGAGTATTGGAAGAGAAACATAAAATTGTGGATGTCACTGTCACTCTTAAAATTAGGCCACGTTCACACAGCAGCAGAATACGGGTGTCAGTCCTGTATTTGAGTCCTTAATATGGTTACGTTCACACACAGTATTTACGGGTGTGACAACCGCATTCTCGGAACACACGTGCTGTGTGAACGGAACCGGACTGGACAACTAGGCCTAGTTGTCTGTCACGTCATACAGCGCGAGAGGGAGCCGCTCTGCCGCACAAACGCGCGTCTACCACGTGTTACATGTTCCCTTTCGATTCGGTCACTCTACATTGCTATGGGAATTACCCTTTTCTCCAAATACTACTGAAGCCTTATTGAATCACGCCAGTGAAACTGGCCAATGGCGTTCAAGCGCGCGAAATATGAGGGGCTCCCACTCTATATAAAGCAGCGCTTGTACGTCATCTATTCAGAATCTTTTTCTTCAGCCAACCTTCTACGAGAAGCAAGAAGCCTATCAACAAGACTACTCACCGTGATCTACACGCTGCAGCGGACACGCCTTCTCTTCTCCTGCTGTGTTCCGGAAACAAGGATGACATACAAAACTCACCTCAATATCAACGCAATTCTCCTCCTCTCACTCCCCTCTCTCCCATCACTCACTCTCACACTCACACTCGTGCGGTATTAAACTCCCCGCCCTCAACGGCGAGTTATCCCTCACGGTGTGCAGTCCGCCTTGACCGCTGTCACAGTTCACAGAAGCGTGGCAGGCACTGCCAGGGGTATCAGAGTGGGTTATGAAATTAATAAAGAACGGCTACACGCTTCAGTTCTTCTGCAGGCCACCCCGTTTCAACGGTGTGTTAATGTCCACTGTACGTGAGCGGAATGCCTCAGTTCTGCGAGAGGAAATACACAACCTCCTCGCAAAACGCGACACCTCCTCTCCATCCGGGCAGTACATGTCCCCGGACGCCTGAATTACGGCGTGGATTTACTGTCGAGGGGCGGGGTTATCCACGGGGAGTGGAGATTACATCCTTTGACAGTCAATATGATTTGGAGTGTATTCGGCAGGGCGGAGCTGGATGTCTTCGCATCAGCGGAGAACACTCACTGCTCGCTGTTTTATTCACTGACACACTCTCCCCTGAGAGTGGATGCACTAGCTCACAGCCTGCCGAAAGTACGCAAGTATGCTTTTCCTCCAGTGAAACTTTTGCCTCGTGTGCTTTGCAAAATCAGAGAGGAAAGGGAATCTGTTCTGTTAGTGGCACCGAAATGGCCCAATCAGCCGTGGTTCCCAGAACTGGTGGAGATGCTAGAAGCCCTCCGTGGGCTATCCCACTGAAGAGAGACCTCTTCTCTCAATGGAGCCATGGAGCCTTCATGTCTGGCCGCTCGACGGAGCTTGCCAGTAACAGATGCACTTCCTCAGCGCATGTTGAACACTATCGCTGAGGCTAGGGCTCCTTCCACTAGACGTCTTTACGCACATAAATGAAGAGTTTTCACAAATTGGTGCGGGTCGCTGGGCTAAGACCCATTCAACTACCCAATACCAATAATTCTTGCCTTCCTTCAAGAGCCAAAAATTTTTTTTCATTAAATAAAATGCCGTTCGAGCCCATACATTCAGCAAACTTGCGTGCGCTCTCTCTCAAGACAGCGCTCCTGCTCGCACTGGCCTCTGTTAAGTGACGTGACATGTGGCCAAGTATGGTGACCCATACTCGGAATTAGTGCTCTGCATTTATCCCATCCAAAGTGCACACACACAGCAGTGAACACACACACACCGTGAACACACACCCGGAGCAGTGGGCAGCCATTTTTTGCTGCGGCGCCCGGGGAGCAGTTGGGGGTTCGGTGCCTTCCTCCGGGGCACCTCAGTCATGGTATTGACGGTGGAATTAAGTGAGTGGGGGACCTGCAGGCGCTGTCAGTTGACGACTCGTGTATTGAGTTCGGGTCAGGTGATTGCAGACTCAACTTAAAGCCTAGGAAGGGTTATGTGCCTAAAGTGCTTTCGACTCCATCTAAAGCGCAGGTCATAACACTATCTGCTTTCCGTCCCGAAACACTGGCCTTAATACACTTTTGCTGTGCCCTGTATGTGCGGTGCGCATTTATATCGAGCGCTTTAGACAGTTCAGGCTCTCGGACCAGCTATTTGTGAGCAGCTCTTTGTATGCTTTGGAGAGTGCACAAAAGGCCTGCCTGTGTCCAAGCAAAGGCTGTCACACTTTTGTTTTGGCTTATCATGGCTCTAAGGGCGTGAAATGTCCTATAGGGGTTCGGGCCCACTCAACCTGCGGACTCGGGCAAATGGCATATCTATTCAGGACATTTGCATGGCGGCAGGCTGGTCGTCACCCAGCACTTTCGCAAGGTTTTATAACCTAGATGTGTCGTCGCTTGCCTCACATGTGCTGACAGTGCAAGCAGCGCACGCGCCTACTTAGCCTCAGTAATGATCTGAGCTGCTTGCCTCAGTGGTTTCGACTAGGTCATATACACCCCTGTGTTGACGTACCACTAATTTAATGCTGTCCCTATCAGCTTATCACATTGTTATGATATTGTTCATCAGTTTTATGGATGTCGCCATCTTTGGTTTTACTTTGGTCACTGTGGCTATGGTTACTGGTAAGGAATACGGGCTTGACTCCTGTTGCACGTTCATACAGACAGTATTCTAAACACAACTGTAAGCTTCTGTGTGAACGGGACATTTCGACACTCACACCTGTAATGAAAATGTGGTTGTCAATCCCAAAAACTAACAGTGTGAACGTAGCCTAAGGTTCCTTACCATTGGGATTTATGATTCCACGAAGAACCTTTAACATCCATGGAACCTTTCCATTGCACTAAAAGGTTCTTTATAGTGGGAAAAAGTATCTTTAGTGCATTAAAAAGTTCTTTAAACTAAGAAAAACTATTATTTTAAGAACTGTTCACAAGGTTCTTTGGGGTTCGATTGTCATATTGTTGATTCACAAGGCTAAATCATCGAACAGTAAATGATGAATGATTCAATGACTTACTCATAAAGACAGTTGTTTCATACTAGCATACTACTCTTACTGCTCTGACTATTTTTACCATATCATTCTAGGGCAGAAATAGCAAGACTGCATAGAGAAACACAGAAATTCAGAATCTTGCTGGAAGCAGTAAGTCCGGCGGGTAGCCTACTTTTCACCTACTGTTGTGAATTCAAACATATTACCTTTTTCACATACTGTTTTTTTGCCTGTTATAGGTAGGGAAGTATGCATAATCGGATGCAGCCTAAGAACCTACTGTTGTGAATTCAAACATATTACCTTTTTCACATACTGTTTTTTGCCTGTTATAGGTAGGGAAGTATGCATAATCGGATGCAGCCTAAGAGCAGTATGTAGTTTCGAATTAGGCAAGTTACTTGTTTCATTCATGAATGAATCAATGTTTTTGAACAGATTGGTTGAATGAATGATTCAGTGACTCACAAAGATACTTGCTGCCACTTACTGGTGCAACAATGTAACCTGGAGATATGCCACTGTAAAATTCTGATCACTAATGCACAGACTGACTCGAATACAAAAACATCGGCGAACAGAGTGATACAAACAGTGAAAGGTCCCAGTGCTGTTGTATAACACCAGTGGCTGACTACAGTCTCCCCTCACCATGTTAATGTCCTTTCTGAGGAAATATAGCTGTTATACCCAGAAATCTGCAATGATGTCTCATAGCCAGTGTCCAATTAACATTTCAACCCCGGCAAGCTACAGATAACAGGTCCTGCGCTCTTGGATTCTTTATTTATCCATTTGATATTGATTTGTCCAGCTAAGGGAATAAAATCAAAGCACTTTGGGGCTTCAGGTTAGACAGTGTTCAGGGTGAAGAAGGCTTAAGGTTTTTGTGATTCATCAACCTGAGGCAGATTTCATAAACACATCACTGTGTGAAGGTATACGTAATGAGCATTTCCAGCAGGTAGTAAGGCAGCGAACCTCGCCAGAGCAATTCTATGAATGAATCACCATCTGAGGTATTTTTAGAATGAGGAGCCTGTTACTATTTGTGACAAACTGTTATGTAACAAATTTATTTCCTCCAGGATTCGCTCTATTCAGTAGCAGGCGCCGCATCGTGTATCTGACAAATAGAAAGAGCTGCTTCCATTACACGTATGAGTGGGCCAGTCACTACAGCCCTCTGGCTTTTCTTAGAAACACAAGCATGGGATTCTGATGGGATTCAAAAAGGGGAATTACAAGAAGAGAGGACTGTGAAAATCAGGCAATGACATGTCTGAAAAAGTAATTGCATTCGTAAAAAAGAGCCATTCCAGACGTGGTATGAAATTGATTTCCATTACACTATTCAATGGAAAGCTGAATGAAAATGCATTCAGATACAATTAACAAGCACTTTTGGTGGTGTTTATGAATGGAGAACCCTTTTGTGTATATTAAACCATTTGCAGACTCAGATGTTTTGTTTATGTTGCTTCAAATTAATATTTCTTGTCAGTGTGACATTGGTCCTTCAAATTGCTGAAGGACCATTCCAGAGGATTACACAGGTGAGAAAACACTTAGCCAAGCTGGAGCTGCCAATACAATCACAATCATCTTGTTTGGGACAAATGGAGCATGTAAAAGGTGTGAATGATGACATGAGCCTGTGCAGGGAACTCGGCTTCACTGATCAGCTCTCATTTCCCGCCACCGCTGATTGGAAGTTCACATTCTGTACCTGGCTGGCAGGAGATCTTTATACAGAGAGATTACTTCATGATGGGAAGGGGATAAGGAAGGTTAACAGACTCCAGAGGGTAGAAGTCACGACTCCCATCATTTGACACATAAAGGAGCCATCTGCCAGTCGTCCTTTTGATTTGCAAACAGCTTACACACATGGCAAGCTAATTCATACCAAGCATGTTGACATCATGAACTGTTGGATAGTCCATGTTCTCTGCAGCAAGATGGAGGCTTTTAGCTTTTAGATGCTTGAAAAGGCCTACCTGAAAATACATTGGAGATTAGATGTCATGTTTGTGGACTAATCAAAATACATATGCATTAAGTGTTCCATTTTTTTGGCTCAGGTAACTAAAATCAACCTGCTGAGTGCACAGAGGAGAGAGAACCACATCCTTTTGATGATTGTCACGATGGTATCCTGCTATCTGCTGTGCTGGATGCCTTACGGGGTGGTGGCCCTGTTGGCCACCTTTGGCAGGAGGGGACTGATCACTCCCATAACCAGCGTGGTGCCATCAGTCCTGGCCAAGAGCAGCACTGTGGTCAACCCGGTCATATATGTGCTTTTCAACAACCAGGTTAGTCCACAGACTGAATGGAATGAATTCAGAATTTTTAATTATAGTTATATATTAGTGTATCTTTACACTGTGATAAAAAATTGTGCAAAAACTTTACCTTTAAGGCTCAGATATTCTTCATTTTCCATGTTCCACTCCATCTAGTGTAAAGTTGAGTGTACAGACCCTACAGAAAATTCTGTATTGACCATGAGTGCAGATGAATGTGTAGGACATGTGTGCACTACCTAGTGGTCCCCTGTTTTTGAGAGCTCAAATTGCTCACATGCATGGTTGTCCATGCACAAGTCTGTGCAGACACAAAGATGTATGTTCTGCATTGTCCGCGAGCCAGAGCGGAACACGGACAAGGTAAGTATACTCACAGGTACATCAGCTTGTCCCCTAAAAGGACAACATTGTATCTTCTCTACCCCTAAAAGTTGTACATTAGTGAAATGAACAGACTTTTTTCTTTCAGTTCTACAGGTGTTTCTTAGCATTTCTGAAGTGTCAAGGAGAACCATCTATTAACTTCCAAAATCCGCAGCAAAGAAGATCCTCATGCACTCAAACCCTGTGACGGGCCCTCATGGCATCGCACCATCAAGGGCCCTCAGAAAAAAGAGCAGCACACTCTGACCTTAGTAGTCCACTACACACCCTGACCTATGGCTTGAAATTAATGTGCAGTGTCAGTTTAATTAATGCTTTAGAACATAAGAATGTATTTTTAAATATATGTAAGAACATACTACACTGATTGTACACAAATGCTGATTATATAATGAACTTCTGAATGAAGACAACACATTGCTAATAGTGCAGTGAAGCAGTTAGTGTAAGTGTCAGGCTGTCAGTGCTGTATGTAGTGTGTGTAGTTACGCTTGTCTCCAACAGTAGGAGCCACTGCCCATGCCATACTACAGTGAGACCCACTGATGTTTAATCACATATAACAGAACTGGGCAAAGTTCAGTCGATATCCATATGCTTTTTTTGAGTGCATAAATGATTATTGATCTTTGTTAGTGGCATGTTAGTTAGTGAAAGTTTCCCTGTAGCATAGTATTTAATATTTTTAGGATATTAAATTCCACTGCTTGATTGATATCGCCATGTTTTACTTAAATGTTAACATATCAAGTAACATTTTTATTAAGCTTTACAAAACTGTATAAAATGTATAATTGTGAGTCATGTTATAACACAAAGACATGTAATTACGACATTATTCCAGCTAGAGTATTTTGGGGCTTTAATCCTGCATCATTTGCACATTTTCCAGAAAGTGTGAACATTTTAATATGTGCCGTTCTCATAGTCAGTTCCATAGGCCCACAGTCTCTCATCTTTTCACCAACATGCACAGAACACGTAGTGAGTCATACGTGCTTTACGAAGTCATTCTTCCCATCCCTGGAAAAAGAAGCAGTGAATACAAAGTTTGCATTGTATGTGTTGAATTCTTTCTCCCAATAATGATTTTAGAGTTTTTAATGTGGTATTTTTTTCATATTAGACTAATATTTACTAATAAAGTAAGTTTCACAGTATCAGACAAACAGTAAATACTGTATAAGGTCCTAAATTGCTAAAATGCTGCTTGATATTGCAAACTGGTATTTCTTACCATATTATTGTAGGCCTATTCTCATAATTATAAACACTGGTTTGTAGCTAGTTTTACCATTTACTGCACTTTGTTATTCTTCTAGTCATTTACAGTGGCTAATGAATGGGAAGTCTCATACAATAGCTTTTATACTCATTAAAAAATAAGGTAGATATATTCAAAATGACATAAAGCAACAGCATCATGATTATCAGTATATTACCTACTGTACTACTGTACTATAACTAATAAAGCCTTGATTTTTAAGGGGTATCTATAAGTAGATCTAGAATTGCAGTTTTATCAAGGCTCGTGTAGCTTTCATTTGTGACACATTTACATAAGTGTCAATATTTTTCACTGTAAATGATCTCACTTTACTCATGAGCACTGCATATTCAAAACACTGAAACATATATTCACTTCCACCCACATCCATTCACACTACACAGAAAGCACTTTTTATATTATTTCTGATGTTTCAGTTAAAGGGGTCATATTATGCGATTTCAATTTTTCCTTTCTTTTTGAAGTGTTACAAGCTCTTGGTGCATAAAGAAGATCTGTAAAGTTGCAAAGGCTAAAGTCTCAAATCCAAAGAGATATTCTTCATAAAAGTTAAGAGTCCACCACGCCTACCTAAAACGGCTTGTTCTAACACGCCCCCACATGTCTACATCACAATGTGGGAAGATTTGCATAATGCCGCCCAAATGTTCACGCAAAGAAAGGCATAACTTTTATTCTCGCTGTAGTATTGTTGCTGCCGCCATGTCGTGAAGATGCTGTGTGTTTCGTTGTGAAAGCGAAACTACTTTGTTTGGCCTTCCAAAAGAGGATGATATCCGCTTCGTCATGCCTGGAGCTGATCCGTGCTGGTCGCTGAGGAAATACATCAACTTCGCGCTGTGGATCGCCGGATCGGCTTTCACCGTGGACGAAGCGGAGTCCAGCCCGGGGTCGTCACATGTGGTTGCCGCAAGTCCGCCGGCCGCTCCTGCGTCGAATCTGCCGGCCGCCGCTCACTCTAGCCCGCCCTGTGAGACGTTGAGTGTTTCGTTGTGAAAGCAAAACTACTTTGTTTGGCCTTCCAAAGACTACAATGCCGGCTGTTCTGACTCACAGACTGTAAGTACGTTTTCATGTTTAAAGGATTTGCCACTGATGATTCAAACGCGAGTTTTGAGCAGTGTAGAGTAGCGCTTGTTGTTTGTCATTTCTCCGATCACAAATGCAGACATGGTTTTATGTTTACGCAGCGCGATACGCAACGCGTAAAAAGACAGTATAAGTCATTATAATCCGTAATTATGTCCCCACAATGTTTTTTTTAATGTTTTTGTCTAGTCGCTCCGGCCGGACAGGGCATCACAGTATGGTAAAGGCATAACATTTCCGTCACACGCTTGAGGTATTGGGCCAATCACAACGCACTGGATAGCTGGCCAATCAGAGCACACCTCGCTTTTCAGACTGATGAGCTTTGTAAAAATCGACACGTTTCAGAAAGGCGGGGCATAGAGGAGAAACAATAATGTACAGTATGTGGAAAATAATGTTGTTTTTTTTTTACCTTAAACCGCATAAACACATTTCATTACACCAAATACACCAAATAATGTTATTTTGAGCAAAATATTAAATATGACCCCTTTAATAATAAAGGTCTGATGACAGGTCCCAGCTGTGTCCTTTCATGCCTTGTGGGTGAAGATAATTTTCTAATCTATAAAGTATGCGTTTGAAATAATACTGATGACTTCGGAAAATGTGAGCCCTGGCAGAGGGACTGAAAAAAATCAGTGGGGGTGGAACTGAGGTTAGACGCTGCAGTTCGTGTGAAACCTGTTGTGTGTTTTTCTTTTGCAAAAAAATGATCGATACTAGATAATCAGCATTTTCTATTGTCGACAGTCAACATTTGAATGATAAACGTTTTTGTTTTGATGTAAAGCATAGTTTATGACCAACATTAAGGTGGCATTGAAGGTCCAACAATTAAAAAAGAAAATGTTTAACAAACTCTTACACATACTGTAAACCTATACAGAGATGCTCACTCATTTACAGCTACAGCAATGTATGCTTTAAACAGACGTCAGGAATGATCAAGTGGAGTTATGAGAATAGGTAGCAGAGACCACCGGTTGGTGGTTAAAATTAGGTCAAAATTTGGCAGCTATGTATATATAAGCCAAAAGCCAAAATGAAAAGCATGTCTTTCATATATTTTCGAGGATCTTTTATAGATGTGGTAAACTAGTATCTTATCGACCTTGATTATCAAACAAAAATAGTTATAGCTCATAAATAACAGGTTTCATATGTGTCTCTCCTGTGTTTATACTCACGGCTGTGAGTACTCTCCAAAAATAAAAATAAAGAAGCCCCGAAAGTATTTGGACACTTAAGTCAAGCTTAAAAATGTATACATATCATTGCTTTTGACTAAATAAAGACAAAAAATATTTGGACATTTTGTGTTTGTCAAATATTAGCGGATCATGTTCATAGTCAATGTGATGAACTATGGTTCCTCTGATAGGACACCTGTGTGAACTTGAGGAGGAACGTCTTCTTACATTCACTAAAAATCACTTTGGAATCAGTTGGTTAAATGTAATTGCAAAGATTGCTCAGAAAAGTTATTTCTGAGAAAAGATCTAACATTGTAAAGATGCCACTTGGTTTGCTATTTTTATCTAATGCAATGCTATTCATACATTTTGTGACTTTGTGAAGTTTTGATATGTTCATTTAAAAAAATCTTTACAAATACTTATTCACAAAATCTGTTAAAGGCAGAAAACTGAACATTTAAACTGCAGATTTAGAATCTGCAAAGACGATGACCTTTGTGCAAAAAAAATGTGTGACCTCATGGAATCAGACCTTTCTAGTACTTGGTATGAGAATGCATGCTTATTTACGCCAAATTGCGCACAAACACGTATGCCGTAAGTCTCAGCCCATCTGAAAAGGTGAAAAGGTTTCTTTCAGGAAGTTTAGAGCAGCTTGTGTTGAGAGCAGCTCTTCAGAACTGCATGGGTGCCACTGGAGTACACATCTCTTCTTGTCAACTTGTCCTCTCTTCATCATGATAAACACCTTTCACAGTAGCTACAATCCCCCACCGGTGCCTCCACGGGCAGGATACAGCAAACGTCAGCCAGCGGGCAACTCACCTTTAGTCAAGTTTTTGTCAATGATGCTACTGCTGTTAACGATTCTGACCTTCGGAGGCTTCCTCTGCCTGTTCCAGAAACTCAACATGGTATGAACTGCTCTTCTCTTGGTGGCTCTTGGCGTTCACGTTTGTATCTACTGCAGGTTACATGGGTGTAAAAAAAAAAAGAAAGAAATTATGTGAAATATAAGGTTAAGTTCATACAATTTTAAATGTCTTCACATATATATATATATATATATGTGTGAGTGTGTGTGTGTGTGTGTGTGAATATTAAGGTATTTATAATTCTAATAGAAGTTAACAGACTTTTAAATGGCAGATTATTTTATGGTAACATATATCACAGTCATTTTGCTTGTGTTGCTTTTTTTCAATATGTAACTTAGAAAATTTTGTAGCTAGTCAATAATTGACAATGTGTTTTGTGGTAGAAGCAATGTATAAATACATTTGAAGGTTTTCTCATTCACTCGAGAAAACATTTATTATATATATATATGTGTGTGTGTGTGTGTATTAAGTTATTATTCTAATAGAAGTTAACAGACTTTTAAATAGCAGATTATTTAATGGTTTTGCTTATGATGCTTTTTTCAATATGTAACTTAGAATATTTTGTAGCAATAATTCATAATGCGTTTTGTGGTAGAAATTATGTAAAAAGTGCCTTCATCAGGTTCAAATTTATTTTAGAGAAAATGCATAAAGTGTCTCTGTATCAAGTTTACAAATACATTTGAAAGTTTAGCTCATTCACTCAAGAAAAAATGTATTTTATATATATATATGTGTGTGTGTGTGTGTGTTTTATAAATATACTTGTGTGTGTGTGTGTTTTATAAATATACTTGTGTGTGTGTGCGTATGTATATATATATATATAATGCAACTTGAGATGAAATGCAAATGGTTATTTTGTCTCAGAATATACAGAAACAGTTAAACTTAAAAGACTGCGAGGCCTGATCTCACTGGTGTATTTCCTGGGTTGTGTGGTTTTATGAGCAAGGCAGCGTGCTGTGCATCAAAGAAACAAAGGCAACAAAAACCAGCATTTCTGTCTCAAGAGGAAGTTAAAACCAAACTACCCAACAAATTATGCAATCTCACTCTATGAGTTATATGCCAAAGGAGTGACTCAATGACAATATGCATTATCCCGGCA